ATAAATAAAGTGTTTTTTTTATATATTTAATTATAATCGTACAATCATAATAAAATTTGATAAATATGATATTCATATTTATTATAATTCATCAAATTTTTGTATTTTTTTCATTTTATTCATTCTGTAAAAAAAAATAAAAATAAAAATAGTATGACTCTTTTTGCCATTTTATTATATTCTATTGATAATTTTTGGATTCCAACATTGTCCATTCCAAAAAGTTAACTTATACTACCTCCTTTTTTAAATAAATGTCGTTTTGACTTTTTTGATTCATCCATTTTACTATGTATCTAGACATATTAATGTCTAGATACATAGTAAAATGGATGAATCAAAAAAATCAAAACGACATTTATTTAAAAAAGGAGGGAGTAATAATTTATTTCAATCAATTAAAATACTAAATGCTAAATATAAAACTAATAATAAAAAAGTTAAGAAGTTAATCATAATATTTAAGATAATAACTAACTTTAAATTTTATAAAATATAGAAATTATTTTTTTATTATTTATAATGGTAAAGTTCATTGAGATTTATTTTTGTTTTTAATATCATTATGATGTTCAATCAATCTGTAATCTTTATTTCAGTCGAGACATAAAATTTAGATTATTTTTTATATGTATTTTATGTACATACTTAGATTATATTTTCTTGCATTTAAAATATCTATTTTATGGTATGTTAATACAAATCAATTTCTAATTCTTTATAAGGTATTTTTTACTTGATATTTGTTAATTTAGTTTGAAATAAATTTATTTTTACAATAAGGATATATATCATTGTTTGTGTGTGTGTGTATATATATATATATATATATATATATATGTATATATATAGTGAGTTCACATGAGAATGGTGCTTAGTAAAAGAAATGAGAATAAGTCGTAGTCATTAGATCATGTTAAAATTATACTCTCATTAAGGGTAATGTTTAATTTCCACACACAAACAGTGGGACCTACCAGCCACATCACCCCCTGTCTCATTCCCCTCTATATCTCCAAACACACACACACACACACGCCACGTCATCACCACACACACGCACAACACACGCATCGACACACACAACACACGCACACACGCTCCCACCTCACACATAACACATGTACACATTCCCATCAACACTTACACACACACATGTACATAACCAGTCACGCCGTCATCTCCTGCAGTCGGGGCGCCGCCACTGTCCGTTACGCCGTCGACGTCTTCACGCCGTCCGTCACGCCATACGTCGTCATCGTCGTCCGCCGCCATCTAACACCCCGAAACGCGCAGCCTGACTCCAACCGACTAAAGTCGCCACATGCCTGACCAACTGCTTAGGCCCAGCCACACGACAGGCGGGTTCTGTCTCGTTGTCAGAAGAGGTGGAGCTTGGTTTTGCCGCCATTAATGTCGTAGTTTCTGGCATCCTTATTCGAGGCGAAGATCCGTCGCACACCGGCCACCATCATCCCCGTCGTATTGACTTCGCTTCGACGAAAAAAGGTGGAACGGGAGATGAGCAGTGATCAGTATGTGGGGAGGCTGAAGAGACTGTTGAACATACTTTGTTCTTGTGCAGTAGAGCTCAAACAGTTTGGAAATTGGCCCCAGTGTTCTGGGACAGTCAGAAAATGGCCATGAGTAGCTTTAAAGAATGGTGGTGGTGGATCTCTACTTTAAGCTTCATAGATACATCTGAGGATAGAATCCAACTATCTACCTACATATTGTGGTGGTTGTGGAGGGCCCGGAATTTATGGGTATTTGAAAATCAATGGAAGCATGAGAGGTGGATCATTCAAACTGCTCTCAAAGACTGGTTGGACTACAAAAAGCCAACAATCTAAAGGAGTAACAGAAGGGCTTTATGGATAGGTTAGGTCTCGTGTCAGTGGCCTATTTGTATTGGTCTTTTTGTTATTTCTTTGCGTTCTTTCGTGTGTCTATGGCATTTCTTGTTTTTGTAGGTTGATTTATCATGCTTGTGGTGTGTTTGTTTGATCATGTTGTGTAGGTTTGGTTATGGTTGTATCTCTGTTAGGCAGCTAGTATAGCTGGTCCTCTCAGTTACCCAGGATTCGGGATTTTCCCGGTGTAAATTTTCTGTTTTTACTAATGAGAAAGCCGATCGTTGGAAAAAAAAATTCTAGTATAGACACATTATATTATTAAAATAATATTTATATACTAAATATTTAAATCATATGTTATAATATATTTACATATCTATATTATATTTTCAATAAAAAAATAATGTAAATATTAAATAAAAGTATTAAAATACTAAATATATATTTATAAAGAAATAGCTGGAATTTGAGTGCATATATATATATATATATATATATATATATATAAAGGTTTCGTATTTACCTGAAATAGATTTAAAAATCCCGCCTAAAATTTCAAAATTACTAAAATAAGTAATTATTTAAAAAAAAAAATCAAAATATCCCGCCTAAATTTGTTTTGAATTTTTTTGGAAAAAAATTAAATCAAAACTTTTAAAGGGAACAATCACACAAATATTTTTTTTAGATATATTCTATCTTGCTCAAATGGGATATTTTGGAAACAATCACTCAATATTTACTTAATATGTAACGTGTTACCTAAATAAACTTCATTATTTTTAAATTAAAGAGAGTTTGCCGATAGATAGAGAACAATGTAATTTTGGACGGAAGGTGATTCGATGAAGACCCGT